ATGTTTGTTTGAAACGAAGGCATGAATTCTAGATGGTGGGCTCATCGCGCATGGTGATGGTGCGAATTGGGTCAAAGAAAGTGAGCTGATGAGGTTTTGAATTTTTGTCAAAGGCAAAATGCCAACTGCCAACATATGGAAGCAGGCGCCCGCAGACATATACATTTATGACACACCAAATCATAATACGAAATGGAAAGAAACCGAAACATATTACTAGTAATTATTATCATGCCTTTTGGGGTCAAAAAAAAAGAAAAAGAAGAAATGCTATTCTTCTACATCTCAATGAAGGTAATATTAATTTAGAGAAAGTTACTTAATATATTTTTTTTATACAACATTTTATGACAATATCATAGGACATAATGTATATGAAAATTGAGATGCAAATAAATGTATAACTAAAATTTGACTCAATGAAAATTTTAATTAATATATATTGTCAACTATAATTTTACATGCAGCGTTGCCCAATTAATTTTTCCCAACTAACGATCTAAAACAGTGAGTTAATAAAATAGACTTTTACATTGAAAAATATAATCCATGATAGGTGGTTATTTTGGATAGATATGAGAAGTAATTCAGGTTATTCGTTCAAAATTGTCGATTTTAAAGAAGTAATATTTGAAATATTTTTCATAAATTATTTCTAAATAAGCTCACTTTTAAGCTAACTTTACTACAACATCCCTTACGTCATATCAATAAAAAAAACTCAAACTTGGTTTGATGCATGCGTACTTTCAGTTGAAAAACTCAAAACTTGATTTGATGCTTGCTCTATAAAGTGTACCTATCCTTATTGAACTTAAAAAATAATAAAATGAATTAGTAATAAGTTAAGCATCAATTCGTACAAGACAATTTAACCAACGTTGATACCTTACGAGTAATCAATAATAATAATAATGAGGTAAGAAAGAAAAGTATTAGTAACAATATATTTTAATAAATTTGCGTACTTTAAAATTGAAATATTATGCTTAAAAAAATAATATAATTAAAAGTGTAATATTTTATAAATATTTAATGTTATCACAAATGTATAAATATCGATTTGTCTAATACTTAGTTTAATTTGTGTAAAAAAAGAATGCATGCTGCGGTTTGACGAATAACCAAATTATGAAGCTACTTTGTATTATCTTCAAGATTCCGCGGACTCATAATTGACTTTAGTATGTTGCATGCTTTCATTCTTGAACTTTGAAGTGTGGCAACACTCTATTATGATAAAGCAGGCACGACAGCAATATGTGAATAGTCCGGGGACTAAATTGTTAATTTTTCAACACCGCTATTTATAGTCTTGGAATTAATGATGGTGTGGAAGGGCAGGGCATAGGGCGGCACACCCATCACCCGTGATTGAAAATATTAGAAAAGAAAAAGAAAATGAGGGAAAGGGGAAAGATGGCCGCGGTCGTTTAGTCAAATCCACTTGCTTTGGCAGTTGTTTTAATTGTTGTCGATGCTTTTCAGTTTTCCCCACCGTTTTTAATATTTGTGCCATTAACATCAAAATAAAAAGAAAATTGCACCTAACCCATTTGTGTTACATATAAAAAGTGGGCGTATTTTCATATGTTTTAAAAATTTCATGAATTTTTCTTATATTTAATTAACAGATACATTCTCTCTATATTCATTTTTCCGTTAACGAAGCTCGTATTTCTTTTTTGTAAAAATCCTATTATACTTTCAGAATATTATATATATTTACGATAAATTAAATTTATCTCAGAGAAAAATAAAATTTGCTGCACAGGGAACAAGGACCTCAAGGACTATAGTGTAAAGCCTTCACACTATTACAACATTTTGGGTTGAGTTTTTTTGTTACTGTGTATATTTATGTAGTATATCTTGTGCATTATTTGAAGAGATATTTTAGAAATGTTAGTATCTTGTGATTAGTTAGTTTTCTTATTTAGCATGTAATCTTGGTTATTTCGCTAATCAGAATTCTCTGATCATCACGTTTGGGGATGAATCAGTTTTCCAGTATTTTCTCTTGACAAGTTTTGATATCGCGTAATATATATAGATATTACATATGAGTGCATCAAATTAAATTCACAAGATAATGTAAGTTATACTAAATTAAATTAATAAAATATAAATTTATGATAAATTTAAATATAATAAAAAATTATACAAAATTAAATAAAAATAAAATAATTAAAATAGGTTATAAATAATTGTAAAAAATTACAGTTAAAATAATAATATTTGTTGTATTTATTTTAGATTATTTTAATCTATTTTATAATTTATTTTAGATTATATTATTCCATATTATTTTGCTATAATATTCATTTTATTTAATTTTCGTTTTATCTCAGTTAATGATTTTTTTTTTATTTTCTTTAACTTAATAAAATGAAATAGATTAACGTAAATTTTACTAAATAAAATTTAGAAACTAAAATAATTTATTTCTAATTAATATCATTTACTAAAAAATGATATTTTATTTCTAATATTTGTACAATTGTCTCCTTGCTATGAAATATTTTGATGTTTTGTGAATGAACAAACTACGACTACAGCATGTATAGTTATAGCAATTATGAAGGAACCGCATTAGTGAAGAAAGGTTATTAAACAGTATATGTCAATCTTATTATGAAACCTGATTAGTGTAAAATATAATTCTACTTATCCTTACTTGGTATACACTTTGTTTCTCATTACGAGATGTAAATTAACTAACAACTTAGTAATGACCAATATACTTTTGTACGTAATATCCACAATTCCATGTTTATTATATGGATACTTATTCTGTAGTTTATTAGAACTTCTATATTGTCAAGTTAAATATATTATTTAGTACTTAGTATTTTTTTTACCCAAATGATCAAAATACCGTTGTAATATCAACAACTCAACTAATATTTCTTTTATAAATTTCTAGTACTTATTTGATGACCTAAAAAATGTTAAACCTGGTACTTATCAAATGAGCTTCAAGTGTATAATTTAATTGGACTTGTTCCAATATGTAACTGAGACTTATTAAGTGAGCATTTGATATCTACCAAATGCTAAAGTGGTACCAAGTTTATTTATACTAATTGGATGGATAAGGTTAGAACTTTAATTGTATTATTTTGGGATTTTACTTTTCTTTGTATTAATATCTTGTTCTAATGAAAAAATACTACTTAAAGATGTATATAGAGATCATTACTTTGAGTTTTGAGATTTTTAAGTTTGGAATCTTGCTATATGTTCAAGAGACATAATAAATTATCATGCGTTTTTCTCCAATAAATAAAAAATATATTTATAGTTTTTTTCTATTGTAGTTTTTATGATAAAAAAAATTCCTAATTATATTCTTACAACTAAAGCACTCTTAGTTTTGTGCTAACTTATCAAACCCATTGAAATTAGTATATTTTAGTTGTAAAACATTTTCTTAGGAGCATATTTACTTCTTCAAAAAGATAGGGAGTTCACTATAAAATAAATGGATGATTACGGAGATTTGGTTATAATTTACTGTAAGATTACCTAGCTATATACTTGAATTGTACGAAAATAAGAGAGATAAAATGACAAGTTGAAGACGCTAGCAATATAAGAGCATGTTTGTTTATGAAATGTTTCAAAAAATTTCCAACATTTTAACTCAACTACTTTTTTTAACATTTTTAACTCAACATTTTATGATGACTCATTATTTTTGTGTTTGATCAAGCTATGGTTTTGGTTAATCTTATAGTTAAATGTTGATTTTGTTTGGTTTGTTTTGTTTCTCTTGTCTCCGCTCTGTTTTGTGAGGATGAAATTTCTTGTTAGCTCATTGAGTCAAAGGCTAGATTTTTTCATATGTTTAATGTTGTTTCTGTTTTTAGTTGGTTTGTGAGTACCTTAAGCTTTAAGGTCTTGGAAGTTATTTTGCCTCAGCTACGAGTTGTTTAATCTTTTCTAGACCACCTTGCATGGTGTGTTCTTCCATTTGTTGTTAGTTTTTTGGTTTTTGGTTGGTGTTTAATTAATTGTGTTCGAATATTATTCCTGTTTGAGTTTAATATTAATATCTCCGAAAAAAAAAAAAAATCTCTCCCAAATTCATAAACCAAAAAGTTTGTCCAATATACTAGACTGCAACAAAAAGTATTGCTAGAGATGTTTTTGTGTAAGTTGGAGCCCTATTTGTCATCACCAATTTTATTTTGTTGGACCATTAATTACACAATTTTCATAGAATGTATGTCGAAGTTAATGTAGCAATTGATAAGAGAGTCAGAAATGTAAAACGTATTCCTGTTTGGCAGGACTATATTCATAAAACAGAGACGATAAAACATCAAAATCAAGCAAACCTTTGAGAAGAATCTAAATTAATAAAACGGAGGCAGAATTTGGTAAGCAAAATGCAAAATGTGAAAACCTAGGAAATTAACAGGCCAAACCAAAAGAAAATCAATTTTGGGGCGAAGGCAATTGGATTCATCAGTAGGGAGGCTGCGGCTGCGGCTGCCTTGCGGTGGGCGCCCAGATGACATCCGCCGCCTCGTAGCTGTACATCGGAGTGGAAACATTCTGCGGGGAATCGCGGCCGCCGTCCCCGGCCGCGCCTCCGTCGTGATCGGCCACCCCCAGCCGCTCAAACAACGGGCTGTTGAATGTTGCAGCGACGAGGTACACCGTCCCCGCCGATACCAGCGGCCCCGCCACCAGTCCCCCCACCACCTGCCCCTGCGGCCCCGCCAGAGATATCGAGAACGGCGTATTCGCCGCCGCCGCCGCGGGCGGAGAGCCGGCGGGAAGGATGGTTGCGGAGATCGAGAGGAGGTCGAAGTGGCCGTGGAAGGTGACGGTGGCGCCGGGGGTGGCGGACGGCTGTTTGAGGGTAACGTTCGCGACGACGCCGTTGCCGCTGAGGACGCAGAGGCCGACGCCCCTCCGCCGGCAAAACCTCGCCGTGGCGTCGATGACGTCGACGCCGGCCGGCAGCTCGAGGACGTACGGGCTCATCGACGGCCCGGTCGGCGCGTCCTGGGCGAGGACGACCGGCGGCTTCGGTTTGTTTTTGGAACCCGGGGGCCGGCCACGGGGGCGGCGGACAACTTCGATAGTGGCGCCGTCGCCGGAGACTAGCGGGGGGTTCAGGCGTGTGGGGCTGAGGCTTTCGGTGTCCTCGGAGGTCGGGAGGCACTCGGCGGAGGCAGCGTAGGGGCGGCGGAGGTGCGGCTGCGGGTGGAGGTGGAACTTGTGGTCGAGGACGTCAGCGGTGGTGGAGGGTGGGAGGTGCTGATCTTGCTGCTCTGCCGCTGCTGCGTACTCTCTTTTCATCTTTATTCTGTCAAATCTGATCTCTTCTTTTTTTTAATTTTAGGTATATGTATGGATTTAAAATATCTTTGTTTAAGATGAGAAATGTGAATTTTTTTTTGAATAAATAAGAGAGAGAGAGGGAGTGAGGGGAGTCCCAAAAGCATGAAAGGGGGGAGAAATCGAATTAGGGATAGATAGGAGATAGAATCATGGATGGCAAATAAGACGACTTTTACTACATAAAGACGACTCTTTGAATGCGTCATCGAAACCAGCAACGATATTTTGTTCCCATTTTGCACCCCAAGATTTTGCATAATTCCATAAACCACCCAATATTGGCGCAATGTCACGCGCTTGTTGGTTCCTCGTGCACCTTTCGCACACACCAAATACAAGCATTTTCCCTACAATCCCTTGAATATATTTTCCCATATTTATAAGCATTTTTCTTTCTATCTATTGAATACTGTATTTTTTTACCACTTTTCTCTAATCAAAGCACTTGCACACACCAAACACGATCTCGAACACGGTAAGACTAACGTAGCTAGTTGCAAAGAGAGCACAACAGGCTAAGGCCGCAAGTAACGTTCAAAGAATAAGGGCGTGATAATAAGGAGGTGTCGAGAAAGTCTGAAGGTAATAAAGGAACTTTTGATCCTACAAATAAATTTGCAATGCGGTATCAATTTATAATTGTCCATAAAGTGAGTCTGGTTCACCAATATCTATGTGATAATAATAGATTATAACTAACTTAAAATCTTTGAAAATTTATAAAATGTATCCACGTGGATTTGTGCGCATCTACTCCTCGATTGTGGACAATTTGATTCATTCAACACTTTTCCATGCATCTTTTCCAGGAGAATGCAGATTATCATCATCGATTTTCAGTAAGAATAGTTCAAGACATTCTAGTTGTGGAGGACTCGACATGGATCCACCTTCCTAATTCATGGTTGCCCACAAAAAAGTCCACAGGATCTTCGTAAAATGAACGAAAACCTGCTCTGGTGCCAATTAAAATTTGGGGAGTACTAAAATTGCATTTAAACTCAATAAACAATGAACGTTCACAAGTACTGCATAACACAATTGTACATAAAATGAACTTTAAGGAGAGCATCCCATTCTCCATCAAAACTCTTTTATTAAACAAGTATTTGACCAAATGTACAAATAAAATTTTATAAGAGAAGGCACTTTCTTTAACCTACTGTGTACTTCACCTATCTAATTAATTTTTCGGCCACAACATAGACTTGGTATGCATGCACAGATCCCTCCGAAAAGTGAATGGTGCTCGTCCCAAGTATCAGAGAAGAGAATACAAAAGACATGCCTTAAAACAAAGTGAAGAACAAACTCTAATTTGATCACCAACTAATAAAATAAAACTGATCAATGATCTCTCAATAAATTCTACACAATCTTACTTCTCTCCAAATAGACTAACTGAGTAAAACTAGAGAGCATAATAACTAAATGCAAGAATGTACAAGGTAAGTAGGTTCTTCTGCGAGTTTACTAACATAGCCACTCCTTTTCACTTAGGTAAGTGAACATCCTTTGATTCCATGTGTGTGCGCAGGTTCATTACCTTTTGCTAAGGCATCTCTCTCCAACTCTAGGTAAGGTAAGTTCCAATACATCCTTGTTGATTTCGCTCAACTCTAAGTATAGTAAAAATTCCACCAATTTTGCTTCCTACAACAATAGATAATCAATTCAAGAATAGTAACAATAAAAGCTAATATAGGAAATATTAAGAATATCGAGACTTCCCGTGATCTTCAAGTGATTTCTCTAGTTGCCTACAATAATAAACAATATTAAAGACTTATTTGAGATTTTCTATTTACTCTCAAATGACAATTAGTTACAATTATTATTATTGATATGCAAGAGTGCATAAATTAAACGCAATATATGTCGCAGGCAAATGACGGAGTCTGAAAGACGACTTAATGAATAGTGCGGCCCGAGATCAAATGGGCATAAGGGATAAGGATGAATCTTGAGAGGATAAGAAGAAATTTTAAGATGACTAGGATCTCACTAATAAGTGATTAAGATATAGATAAGCACTGAAATTTGGGCAGCCGAGCAGATTGCCCGCGGGCAACTGGGTTGGTCATTTCTGGCAAGTATTTTTCCCTATAAAAGGGTTAATGTATCACTAAAGTTATGTTTGATAAAACTAGCTGATAAGCTAGCAAATAGTTTATCAGTAATTTTCGAGATTATAGCTTATAACTTATGATTATAGCTTATGATAAAAGTGTTTGGTAAAATTCGTTGATAAGCTAGTTGAAATTAAAATTTAACTAACTTATTTGAAAAGCTACCTAAAGAAGCTTATGAAATAAGCTCAAGTTTTTTAAAAAAGTTTATCCTACCAAACGAAACTTATTTAAATACAAAAAGCTTATAAGCCAATCAAATAAGCTATAAGCTATTTTATTTGTCTACCAAACATAGCGTAAATCCCAACCGTCAAAAACCCCTCGAATGTTGAGTTTTTGCAGATTCGTGTGTTGCAGTTTAGGCATATCGGAGCTCATTTCAACCAATTCGATCCAGATCTGGGAGAGGACTCGTCAACTAATTAGTCCCCTTTGCTCAATTCTGTTTCCCTATCCATCCACCACTTAAACTCTGGATTTTCACCTGCAATGGCGGCATGTCGTCTCGTACAATTCCGGACAACCATCCCAGCCTCCTCCCACACTCACCACCACTTCCTCCCGCTGAACCCTTGTCTACTTCCCCTCAATACAAAGCCCCGGATTCCCAGGCTTCGTCTTTACCTTGTACAGCCCCAATCGCAAGCCCAAGCTCAGCCAATCGTTCCATCGGAGGAAAACATCGCAGAAGAAGATGAATTTTCGAAGACGCGGCTTCTGGTCCAGAATGTCCCGTGGACGTGCACCGTAGACGATATCCGCCCGCTATTCGAAAAATACGGTACTGTTGTCGACATTGAGGTGAGAGATTGACCTCCTCTTTGTGTATTGATGTCGAATTACTCTTATATGGCGTTTGAGGATAATATTGTGATTGGCCTTTTTTTTTGTGGCATTCCTTTTTAGTTTTCAATGTATAACAAATCTAGAAACAGAGGCCTGGCTTTTGTATCCATGGCTTCGCAGGAAGAAGCCGCTGCTGCTTTTAATAATCTGGATTCCACTGTAAGCTAGCTATCCCAGTTACAAAAATTCAAAATGAAAGTCATTTTTGTTACATGTTTCAGTTAACTATATAATTACTCTGAACTATAGGAATTTGAGGGTAGAGTATTGAAGCTTAATTGGGCTAAGCTGAAGAAAAAGAAGCCTAAGACTCCTCCACCACAATCCAAGCCACTGCCAGTCCACAACTTGTTTGTGGCAAATTTACCTTTCGAGGCGAGCTCGCATGAGCTGAAGGATTTCTTCAATGCCAATAATGCGAATGTTGTTTTTGCCGAGATTATATACCACGATAATCCTAGACGGCCAGCAGGTTATGGCTTTGTCTCGTTCAACTCTAAGGCCGATGCTGATGCTGCACTTAACGCTTTTCAAGGGAAGGTAATAATTTTGAATTGGGTTTCATTTGTTTTTGTTTGTGTAAGAATTTCTGAGGTTTTTGTTTTTGGTGGCAGGAGTTTATGGGGAGACCGATTCGGGTGGCACAAAGCAAAAGATTTTTGAGACAGGGGACAAAGGCTGCTATTGAATCCGAGAGAGTGGCCTTGGAGTCGCTTATGCCAAACGAGATTTAATGAATCGCTTGTGAGTTTTTCCACATATTAGTGCATATTTTGTGAATGCTCACTCAAATGTGTTTTTGAATCAGCAGTCGAATTCTTTTGATAAAAATTCAGTTGAAGTTTGGTAACAAAACGAAAAGAAAAAGTATCTTTGTTCTGTTATTTGGATGCAGTTTGTTTCCCATACTAACATGTATGAAAAATCAGACTTTTGAAATCAAAGTGCAAAAGGAGATAGGATTTTTCATCATTCAGACTTCAGAGTAGTTTAATTTGACATCTTATCCCAATAGATTTGGTTAAACAGAGCTAGGATTTTATTCTTTTTTTTTTTTTTGGTTTCAAGAAGCTCACTGATAGTGCTACTGAAGTGTTGATTTTTTGTACCCGAATGGATTTGGAAATTTCTCCATTAGGTGTGAAAGATTAAAAGCATTTAGGCCAATGTAAATGTCCTTCAAAAGACGGTCTTAAGGTAGTTGTCGATACCATGGAGTAGTTTATTGTGCCTTTGATGTGGTATCATTGGAGATTTAGAAGAAACAAGTCTTCTTCGTGTTTAGAGAGTTTAATTGGAGAGATTTTTTTTTATTTTTTTTATTTTTTTTCAAGTTGTCATAAGTTAGGTTAGACAATATGAAGAAACATCTTGCATCATAGTCAAACAAATGGTGCTTGTTACTTTTAACATTGAAATCGAGTTTTCATGCTTTTGATGGATTTATTGATCTAATTCAAACAAATGCTGCTTATGAATTTATTTTTCCTTTATGGTTTATGATGAAGCAATAAATCTTGGACTTAAGTTTGAGGACCAACAATGGCAAGTTGTAATAAATTCCTTATGGTTGAAAGCTGCGAACGTTCTCATCCAGTGCTCAAGTCATTGTTATATGTGCACTTGCACTCGAGTAATTGTTACTAGTGCATAAGTCAATAGAAAGTGCTTAGGAGTAGATTAAACAAGAGAAAACTAGCACTAGTTGCTGGCTAATTGCACAAAAGAACAATTTAAGAGCACTTAATTGTGGTTGGGGTAATAATGGTAGCTAGGAAAAGAGAGAATGTTGGAATTGTTTTGGACAAATTATTGAAACTGTTTTAGTATAATCGGTATTAGTTTATCTTGACTATAAATTAGTACAGTATGTGTGTATAAAGTTGGACCCTTGATGTTCATATTGTACGACTAAATAAGACAACAAGACCTCAGTTATGAATATAACAAGACCTCAATTATGAATATTCGTCCTCGTAGTCTCGATATAATAGCATCCACTTAATTCAATATATATTTCATTGATTTATCCATAGTTTTTAAACCCGGCCCGGTGATCGACCCGGGCAGGTCCTCGGGTCATCGGGCACCGGTTCAACCGTCGTCACCGGGTCAATTGCTGAATTGGATAGTTAATTTAAAAATTTTTAAAATTATATATAGAGTATTTTTGTTATATAAATATACATAAAAGTAACAAATTAAATGTTTTGTGTATAAAATTTATTTATTAAAGTGTTAATAATATGTATTTCATGATAAATATTTACCATATAAACATATATACATATTTTTATTTTTAAAAAACAAAAAAAAATAAAAAAAAATATAAAAAATATATATGGACCGGTTGACCCGGCCGGGTTTCTGCCGGGTCGGTCGGGTTTTGACTGGGTCCTTGGTTGCCCGGTCCAAATACTCCACCCGGACCGGTTCCGGCGGGTCAACCCGGATCTCAAAACACTGGATTTATCAATGTAATTTTTTTTTTTTTTAATTAAATCAATAAGTTCAATTGATTGCAAAACGTAATTGTTTATATAGTGTGTTGTTGATTATAGAAGTAATTTGTGCAAAAATAATTTAGGATGATGATGTATCTGAGAGGAGATCGTAGGATTGTCAAGCGAACTTAGTAGGAAGATTTAATCCGACAACATTATAAAATTGAGTGGTACTACTTTTAAGATTGTTAATTGATTAAATTTTCAATAATTTAATTATTTAATGGGCATGCAATATTTGAAACATTGGGAGACCGCGAGGGTATAAGAACAAGATCATAATATAATTCCCTATATATTAATTCGAAACGTGCTGAGCCTATAATCTTATGTTTCATAATCTTATGTAGAAAAAATTATGCTTTGTAATATGATTCGGAAAAAAAAATTACTAATTTTTTATACCAAATAGCTTAGATTCGGATTGTCATATGTAGACATATTTAATATTTTTAAACTATTCAATATAAATTTATTTATTATCTTCTTTTTATAATGTGCATGTTATCTTATTTTCTAAATTTTGTGTTTTCTGCACAGTATTCTCTTATGTGTTTTAAATAAAAATATTATAAATAAAACTAATGATGTATATAAATTAGTTTTCAAAATTTAAGATAATATTGTTAATTGACTTAGCTCTTTATTATAAATTTTTATATAATTGCTTATCATTTATTTTTTCCATCTTCAACAAAATATATTTTTTTTCTTTCATTTTTTGTTGTACATTTAATTATTTTGTCAAACACCTGTGTAGTACACGAGTATCACACTAGTCTATATCTATTATCTATTAATATATAAAAGGCTAAGGACCTATAATACTAGGTAAAATTCCTCCTGAATATTTTATTGTTACTAAGTTTATAGCGTGCTTGTTTATGAAATATTTCATTCAAAATGTGTTATTTTAGTTAACTAGAGTTAATTTTGAAAAAGGTAGTATAGTTAATTGTTAGTGGGATATAAATGATTGGAAATGATTATTAATGATTTGATGTAAAAGTAGGATATAAATGATTGGAAATGATAGGTAGTTAAAATTATGTGAGTGGATGAATAGTGAATTAAAGTTGATGTGATATGTAAGAATGATTGGTTTATAATATTTAATTATATAAATAATATAAATGATAGTGGGGTTGAGTTAAAGTTGAGTTAGATTTTGAGTGGGAAATGAATTATTTCATAAACAAGCATGCCCTTAATATTTCCCAAAAAATATTTGAAAAATCTCATGTGATGCACAATTTTTTCGTTTGACGTTAAAAAATTAAAAATGTATTTTATTGATCCTCATGTTTATAACAAATTGATTTAGTGTCCATATTTATCTAATTATAACACCTTTTAAGTCTAATAAAAGTTACATAAAAATTATTTTTGGTACATCAAAATTGACTTCGTATATTGAGAGATGTGGTACGTAAATTATTAGTTTTAAAACATAATACTGCATATCTATTATATATATATATATATATATTAAATAAAATTAGTAAATTTTACCTATTTGATTTTTTCCCTCCAATAATCGTTACAATTCATTATTATTATTATTATTATTATTATTATTATTATTATTATTATTATTATTATTATTGCATTATACCACCTTATCCCATTAACGGTAAAATATTTCCTCGCACTTTTTTTGGGTTAATTATGACAAAAACAATTACATTTTATATTAATTGAGTGATGACTACATTTTTTATTGTATCATATAATAGTTATTATTAAAATTAATAATTATAGTTTACACTAAACGATATATGAAAGTTACATAAACATAAAAAGTGATACTGTAAAAACTTTTTGTTCAAGTTAGTTGTTCTAAAATCGTTATTATATATTATTTTATCTGATTAAGCGATTGACTTTTAAATAAATTAATTTATTTTAATGTTAGTAAAATTCCTTAATGTCGCATAAACAATTATTATAATAAATTTAATATTTTTCAGCTAATTAATTGGTTTTGATTCGTCAAAATTACAAAAATTACATTATTAATATATTTTATGTAATCAATATAGTAATTCATATGCAATCAAATCGTCATGTACTATTTAGTTTAACCAATGATTAAATTTTAAAATATAATATCATTATCTAACTTATAATTTTAATATTACATGTATAAATATAATTTATAAAACTCTATGTTAAAAATATAATACTACTATTATTTAACTTAAAATTTTAATATTATAGACATATAAATAATTTACAGTATAAAACTTTTATTTATATATGTAAAAATGCATAGGGAGGATAATTACAATAAAATAGAAAAAGCCTACCCTGCTGCCCATGTGGTTCAATGTAGAGTGGTACAACTTTCAATTTTCTCGAAAACGTTCAGAATTTAAGGAGGGGTTGACAAACAACAAGCAACAGTGCAAAATTCTCTAATTATTTATTATATCTATCTCCCTACTTTCTTTCTGATGTGCTTAGACGTAGGTACCTGCAGCACTAAGTAAATGAGATAAGCCTGTGCCCAATTAATCGATTTCTTGCAAACATAGAACACGCTTTGTTTCTTTTTGTGGAAGTAAATAAAAGTCACACGCAGTGATTTTGACCTCACACGAAGTAAATAACACAGATGACAAGTCCAAGGCATCCTTTTTACCTGCTCAGGTTCACTCATCTGTTTTGCTCTTGGGTTTGAACTTTGAAGTTGGACATTGGCAAATAAAAAAATGTTGTAATCTTAAAATTTCAATCTTTGAGATAATGAGATTCAAATGGTATTTTGCTTGAATTTCCAGGTATCCACTTCTGTATTGAAGATCACGAATCTTCTTCTTCGAAGGCGCAGCTAATTGACTTTCCCACAAAGCTTGTTCCTTTTGAGTTGCTTTCATCTCCATTACGAGCTTCTATGGTTCATTTTCATGGCCCAAAGTGCACAAGTAATGTAGATATGTGGGATATATCCGTACGAAAATGCTCCTCTACCCACGGTGGGCACATGTTAATATACATCACCAATGTGTGCATGCCACATAAGCGGTGTACATATTAACATGTGTTCACTGTTGGTAGAGAAGCATTTTCCTATATCCGTATACTCAAATACTAAAACAATGTGTTCCATAATGTTTAAAATCAAATATTAAATAACTAACGGCATGAAAAATCACTAAAAATATTTCACCAAGGTATGATTGATATGAGTTTGATTTGATTTTGATTACTTTTCTTCGTTAATCATAGTTTATTTTAAAAAAAATTAATATGATTAATTGTGAGTGAAATTTTGAGTTATACTAAAATATTATTTAAAATAAAATAATTAAAGTTGATCTGATATAAAAAAAAGTATGAGAGATAATGTGAATTGATGATTAGATATAATCATGTGAGTAGATGAATAGTAAATTAAAGTTGATATGATGTGTAAAAATGTTTGATCGGTATTATTTAGTTATATTAATAATAATGAGAATAGTTATATAAGATTTAATTATCTATGATTCGGACGTGGACATTGTTCGACGTTTTTAATATAACCCGACAATATGTATATTACCATATAGAATAACTTATGCTACGAAAGTGACAGCTAATGCAGTGTGAGTTGTCTATTAAATAGAACATGTTTTAGAAAGAATTAACGTTCAACTTCTAAAATGTTTTATTTATTTAGTATGTGGGTAGATACTTCGTGAATTCAAGGAACCAAAATGTCTCACAGTGCAATAAATGGAAATAAGTAACACATCGACTGAAACCAATAACGAGAAAATGTCTCTTAAGTATATTGGTTATGTCAATAATGAATTACTAAGTTTTTTCATTTATTCG